GTAACGTGCAATCGAAGAATTGCTTCATTGATTCATTCATTTGTCATTCCTTCCTTCCTTCCATTTCTTCAGTCAGACAGACACTTGCTCTGACGTTAGACAGTCAGCAAGTCAATCATCAGTCAGAAAAATAGTCAATCAAAACAACCTTCGAATCTTTACAATATTTACTGCAGTTTAACAGACACCACCCTCTTAAATCATTAAAAAAAAATCATTTTATTTTATTTATCATGTTAATATTTCAGTTGGCTGACTAAACAAAAACCGGAAGTTGAAATTTTCCAACAAAATCTTCAAATGCATAGCACGTCTTTATATAATGACAAGAAATGCATAAGAGAATACGATAAAAGAGATTGGAAATTGTCATGCCAGACTTGGTACTATAAATATCAGCTTTACGCAAGATAGCATTTTCCAAGAAATCTTACAAAACATTACGTTTTACTTTGATTCGTTTTGCCAAATCCCTAAACAAATAATCCAAACATACACACACCTTTTYATACGCCTTGTATACAGTTGCATAAGTTCCTTGGCCTAGTTTTTCTGTCAGYACAAAGCTGTCAAGTTTTGGAGGAGAAGAAAACAAAACGGGATGTTTGGCCGCCATCTTGGATGTTTACTTGAGCCTGCAGTGCATCTGAAGTGACAACCTGCGGCAAATCTGTGACGTAGTTTCGGTTGCCATCACTCTTAAAAACTGCTTATAAAAAGTTCTATCATTAATCTTGAATGATTTAACCTACACCTGAMAAAATAAGCACTTTGAACAAAAAATTTCACTGTGAAGAAAAAAGGAAAAATTTCTTTTTACAATGATAGTGGAACCGGAAGTCGTTCTTTCATACAAATGACGTCATTCTAGGAAAGCCCGTACAAAATATACGTGGGTGTGGGAAGGTGAGCTATATAGGAGTAAAAGTGGCAAAACGTTTATCATAATCTTATCTTTTAATTAAGACTTCAAGATTTGCAAGTAAGCATGGTAAATACAGATCCAAGTATCGTGGAAAAGTGCCGAAAAGTGGTCCAAGGGAAGCTGAAATCTCCTAACAAGACCTGGGTTTTATTTGAGAATCAGACCTTCATYGTATTAGATGAGCCAGGACTGAATCTCGACACTGCTTCTTCAAAAGCTACAGAAATAATGAAACAATATGGACCAGTGTACCCTGGATGYCCAGCTGGAGATTTCAACGTCTTTGAAGATCAAGAGACAAAAGGTTGGATCGTGACTGGACACTGCGAAACGATGTTCAACTACGTGGATTCGAGTGAAGCAAACGMAGAAGGCGGAAATATGATGATAGGGCTGATTGGAAGGTCTATGAGGGATTCAGACGGCAAAAACCCGAAAATTGTTCATGTGGAACTTGCTTGAAGCTAAACAGGAATGGGATAGCACCTCTGTTATAATTTACGATTTTTAAGTCCAAACTTTGAAAACTATCTTGAAWTTYSRAWWAYWWTATWAATYATWAAKTAATAATAATTGTTTCAAYTTTTTCTTTTTTTCCTATTTATTATRTATGCACACATTAAGAAGTGGAAATCTTTAAAAGTTCTAGTTTTATTTTATCGTTTTTTAAATCTTTTTTCATAGGTTCTGTCTCTTTTTCAAAGCATTTTTTCATGTACGCAATCATATAAAGTGTGGGAACTCTGGCTGTCTCATTTCTTTCCCATCTTTTTTATTCACACTTCTTTTTATTTTCATCATTTTTTCATAAGCTCCCCTTTATACATGTATGAAAAGAGGAAAATGTAGCTCTGTCCTTTTTATTCTTGTTTCATTATAGACCTCCTCGGCTCAGGCGTAATGTTGTCCCATTTCAGTCCACATGTCATTCCCCATAATATACTTTCYTTTTTTAACGGTTGAGCTCAGTTGCACATAAGACGACACATTAATATGGATACAACTCAAACAAAGAATCTTATTCTCAAGATTATGTGTCATTCCCTAGAGTATTAATTCTTTTTTTAACGGTTGTGCATAAAAAAAACACATGAATATGGATACAACTCCAACAAAGAATTTCATTTCCCTTGCACTCTTTCTTTTGCATTGTACTAGGGAATAAATTTAACAAAGAATCCTGGTAGTGGTAAGAAAAGTAGTAGCTTTTCATTGTGTGTTTCCATTGGATATTCCTTTCTTTACAACCTCTACCCTTTTTATCAGCCCTTTACCAAGAAGTGAGAAGTCTTCAATAATAGCCTCTGTGTTGAGTGCCACAAGATGTTGCTGATGTTTTGACTGCAATAAAATAATAGATATCTTCAATGGGGATGAAAAAGTGAGAGTCAAGAGTGGTGTAGTGGCAGAAGCACTTGCCTCTCACCTCAGGCTTGATTCAGGCTGGTATTAGCCAAATTGGGGGAGGGGGACTTCCAAAACCCCCTTCCCCACCCCATCCCCCCTCCCCCAATTTGGGCCTCTATGCAGGCTAGGCTGGTATCAGGCTTGATTCCTGGACCCAGGCTTGATTCAGGCTGGTCTCAGTCTTGATTCCTGGACTTACATTATAGCATCACATCTGAGCATCACATGAGCTTGTTGAGTCTCTCCCTTGATTCAAGGTTTTTTTCCCGGGTTTTCCGAATTAATTTCCTCCTTTTACAAAACCTAGTAGGCTAAATTCTGATTCAATTTGTTAGTTAGCTGTTCCCTGACTTTAAACATCCCAGTGGCTGTGAGTTTAATGTGTGAGTTAGCTGTGTCCTGACTTTGATCAGCCCAGAGGTTGTTTCAGGGTTTGATCTGTGAGTCAGTCTTGCCTTGACTTTGATCAGCCCTGAGGTTGTTTCAGGGTCTAATCTGWGAGTTMGCCATGCCCTGACTTTGATCAACTTGCGGTATGTTATAGTATTGATAAAAATTGAAGATGAAAAATAATATGTAACTGTTTTTAAGTCTCCCACATGGAAGAGGCTGAATCAGTTTTGTAAGTAAACTGAAGGAGACTAAAATAGACAACCAACTTCTTTGCTCGATAGACTAGAAGATTCTTAGGTTCAAATTTATACTAATTTATGATGTTCGTAAATTGAACATAAAATCTATAATACCATAATCATGTAAGAAATTATTTTTACCTTTTTTRTTTTCTCCTCTACAGGGATTTTGTATTGCGCATTTAACACCTGGAAAGAAGTTAGCAAGACCATTGGAATTTTTATTGAATAAATAAAAATAAAATAAATAGGATTCAGCAGTGGCATTTCCACAAAGTGGCTCTTCATCCACTGAAATTGGAATTGGAATTTAGGAGTTGAAAACTGGAGAACCCGGAAAACCCTCAAAGCACAGGAGAGAACCAGCAAACAACTCTACTCACATACGACAGTGAGCCCAGTGGGATTCGAACCTGTGTTGCATTAATGAGAGGTTAGCGCTCTCACCGCTACACCACCCATGCTTCCCATGATATTGATTTTCCACTGCCTTTGAAGCAACCAACAAATTTGGAGAACTTTTTTTCTTTTTTAAATCTCTTGTGTATAAGTATATCATCTCGATAATGGCCAATGAGCAAAAAATAAAACTAAGGGAATGATGACAGTGRTTTGAAATGGGAAAAGAAACCAAATTTTGAAAYTGTTTCTTGTGTYCTTTCCAATTTCTTTCTGTATTGTRTTTATTATTAAGATTTTYCTTACTTTGAATGGACTTTTTTCAAATACATGTGGTTTCCATACAACTGCAACACAATCTCCTCCCATCTCATCATAAAAGAACATCGCTATGTCTGAGAAAGATTCCTGTGAATAAACAAATAATGAGGGAAGAAAAAACAAAATGAAAAAAAAGTAATTAAATAAATAAAAAATWAWAAAAAMMCAGATAAATCAGTGAATGAATACATTGACAATTGCTAGGTGGGTTCGATAGGTTGGAGGTTGCATGATAGAATGAATGAATAGATGGATGGATGGTAAAAATGGATGAGATGATAAATGGGATAGGTGATTAGATAGATGTAATGGAATAAATGAATGATGGGTGAATGGGATGGAATAAATGGATGGGAAGGATTTATGAATGGGTAGATTGAATGAGTTGGGTAAATAGATGGGTGTGATGGATGGATGGTTAAATAGATGGGTGTGATGGATGGGTGGTCAAATAGATGGAAGGATGGATGGTAAATGGTAGAATGGAAAGATGAGTGGATGGGGTGGAATGGGTGAACGTGTAAATGGATGGATGGAAGGGTCAACTGGATGGATGAATGGTTAAATAAACAGAAGGATGAATGGATATATGGGATAGGTTGGGATGGAGGAAGTACCTTTAGCTCAGTAATGTAACACTGCACAGGGTCAAAGGCCAACACAGGCATTCCACTGCCTCGCTGTTGGTCTTGCTGGTCATTCTGTAACTTGGTGAAATCAACAGACTGAAAATACCGGGGAATGCAGCGATGCTTTAACCAGATGATGATATCATAGTCAGCCATAGGAGGTCGAAAGATTTGCTGAAAAATAAAAGATAATATAATTCCCATTAGCTACGTCCAATAAAGACCAGACCTCTTTACCCTGAGTCTGATATTTTCCCATTTCAGACGAGTCATTTTCAATCATTACCTTAGGGACCAGTCAGGGGAGGGGGGTTGGAGGAGAAAATGGGGTGCCCTCAAATTTTTTTTAGTGGAACATGGGGGGCCTTGAAAGGTCAAAAGGAGGATTGGGAGGATTGGGAAGGATTTTTTAAACGACTGAAGGGAGGTACCCAAAGAACATGAATGCTATTAGTTTGGGGTATGGAAAATGTTTTGCATCAAAAACATTTTCTCCTCCACCCCTCCCCCCTCCGACTTAAATAATGATTGGTCCCTTAGGTGTAATGTTTTCTCATTTCAGACCATGCATTAATCTTTCAAGAATAACATTCTTAGTTTTAGTATAATCATATTCTGCAGTGTTTTCTCTTAGACTTATGCAACCAATAATTTAAGCAAAGAAATGATACTCTAGGGAATGAATCATGGTATGAAATGGTAAAACATTATGCCTAAAGTATTTTCACATAATAAATCAAACACAAGCAAAGAGTATTTCATCCAATATCTAAAACCTTAGAAGTGTTAAAATAGGAGGTGTAACTGATAAGTGTGCTTCCTGTTGGGCGAGCAACCCTAATGTTCTTGCTGACACTTATATTTTTTTCATTCCCAAATGCACCACAGGGTTCCCAGAAAGCTCATTTCCACTGCTATGTCAGTAAAAAGAAAAGAAGAAAAAAAATCTGACCTACTGACCCCAATTATTTTTCTCATGCAACAGGAAACACACTTATTTTTTTGTTTGGCCTAACCTTAAAGTCTGCCTTCTGAGAAGAGAATTCTTCCAGCTGATTCAGAAGGACTGAATAGGACTCTTTGGCAAGGACTTCCATTCTGTGTAGGATCTAATGAAAATCAAATGGGAAGTGATGAGTATATTTGAAGCGTAGTCATATATTACAGTAAACTCTTGGTACCTGCTTTGTCGGAGCTTCCTTGGTCCATTTTGAGTCAAATTTATCTTTTGGAGTTGAGATRAATAAAGGAGGTAGATTAGACCTGCCACTTGAAAATTTGGTAGAAATTTCTTGATGATCCTCAGCTATAACAAAAACAACAATATTATGAATATAACATAAATTGAAATGTAATGTGAAAGGATTTGGAATGCAGTGGGAATGAAATGGAGAGAAAATTAGGATAGAATGAGAATGGAATAGAAATGAAATTAGAATGAAAAAAAAAAAGAAAAAAAAAAAAAAAAAAGAAAAAAATTAGAAACACTAGTGAAAGTGGACGTGAAATAACTAGAATGCATGGAAAATGGAAAGGAATGAAAAGGAGAAAGGAATGAGAATGAAAGAGGAATGAAATGAAAGTGAAATAGAATTGAAAAAAGAACTCAAATGGAAAATGAATTGGAATAGAATAGGAATGATATTTAAATGCATTGATTTCCATGGATGAATCTAAAAGATGAAATGAAATAGGAAAAGATCATTAAAAACTGACACAAAAATAAGAAAAAAGTAGTGTGCAATTATATAATAAACAAAATTTAGAATCATTAAGTAGATAAAGAAGCAATAAGAATTTAAATAATAATAAATATAAATAGCAATAACAAAAATAGTATATTGATGGATAA